AAATAAATAAATAAATAAATAAATAAATAAATAAATAAATAAATAAAAGCCCTCATATCAAACTGGCTGATATTTTTGGTTGGTATGTTGGTTGCCCAAAATATGCTACCAGCACATATTCTTTTAATACTAAATAAAATTTGTGTTTAGTGGGGGCCCCTCACGGTAAAAACATGTAACTGATGCTGTTAGAAACTTATGCAATGGGAGAACACTTAGAAAGTGGGTATTTAGTGGATGTTTAAGAATGTTTCCATTGTTATTTGATATTTTTGCTAACAACAATGTAGATGTTTGTGTCACCTATAAATACTCATTTCCTGCACTCTTTTTAGAGAACCAGATATTCATAACTTGTTTGAGTAAGGAGTTTGACTGGTTTTGCTCAAGGTGTTAAACCTGTAAAGAGACAATGCTTTCATGAGTTGCAGTCTAGCTGATAGCTAGGATGAAAATTTGCTAGCCAATTTAAAAATAAAATCTTTGTATATTGATGAAAGGAATTTTGAAATAATTTTTGTCATTTATGTAACACAACCAATGACACGTTAATTTTATTTGGAGCCAAATATCTTTGTATAGCATCTTTTTCACCTATGATATCACTCAAAGTGCTGAAATCCACTGAACTTAGAGCCAGGTCCCCAAATTGGTATATAATAAAAAATTTTAAGAGCAGTTGACCTATTCAATAACATTTCTCTTTCTAAGTGTTATTATAGTTAATATAGACAGAGAGACAAAAAGATTCTGTACCGTTAATAAATAAAATAGATCATATACTACCTATATTTACTTCATCTTTGAATTTATTATGATGTCTGCTTTTTTTTTTTTTATGCATACAGAACTGGGGTACAGGCCAGAGGTGCAGGGGCAGTGAGAGGATTCACCAGAGACAGAGTGGGGAGCAGAAAAGGCAGATCAATGAAGAACACTGCTGAGGGGAGCAGCAGGCGGGCCAGGAGAGGTCTGCCGCACCCTGTGGGTCACCTCCAGGGCAGGGATCAAACTCATGCAGAAGTGGCTTTAGCTTCTTAATACTGCGCTTCAACCCGCTGCACCACCAGGGAGGGCCAATGATGTCTGTTTTAAAGTGTGTATTTTATTCACAGATTAGTTCAGGAATATCATTTATAAATAACTACATAAACATATGTAAGAGTGAACATTCACACTGACAAGAGGTTACTGAGCTAGAAAATTATTACAAAGCAGAAATCTAAATAGCCCAGAGTTGACACTCAGTTCTACAAGTTACATGAGTGAATGAACACCTTCCTCAAGACTCATCAGGATTGGCACATAGTATAGGATTCCCTTCCTTAGGGCTGAATGACATTCCATATATGTATATGCCACATATTCTATACCCTTTATGCTAAATGAAATAAGCCAGTCACAATAAGGACAAATATGGCATGATTCCCCTTTATATAAGGTATCTATCAAAAATCTCAAACTCATAGAAGCAGTGAATAAAACGGTGGTTGCCAGGGGCTGAGGGGAGAAAAAGGGGCACTATAAAATTTCAATTATGTAAGATGAATAAATTCTAAAACTCTCCTGGACAATGCTGTTCCTATAGCTAACAATACTATATTATCTGCTTAAAAATATATTTTATATCATATATACTATATTTATACTAATATACTATATTAGTCTCTTTATACTAATATACTATATCTAGTATTTGTCTCTTTATACTAATATACTATATTACCTGCTTAAAAATATATTAAGAAAGTCATTCTCAAATTAGGTGTTCTAATTAAAGAAATGTTTTAATTTAATTTTTAAAAATGTGATTACCCCACATAGCAAAGGAAGAACTGAAAATAGTTAAGCTGCCCAGCTTCTGACAGGTTCTACTCAGGCACTCCAAGCAAAGCATCTGAGAAGCATCTGGTGTTTGCAAATCTACTAAAGAGGACTCCTCCCAGGTCAACTATAATCACCCATAGCCATATATCCTGAATGGAATGGAATAGACACTCTCCCAAATTACCCCCAAATCTCCCAAATCACCAAGGAGTGACTGAACTTCCCATCCCTGACTCACATATGAAGTGAGTTAATGCAAAATAAAAAGCCTATGATTTCTGCTTTTAAGAAATTCATGTTAACTCTAGAACATGTCTTCAGACTATCAGTTAGAGATGGATATAGGCTTATGTTTGGAGAATTTAAGATACTTGGCCAATGGTAAAATTACTTTACTGATTTCCAACTTCATCTTACCTCACACTTATCTTTTCCATGTTCTATTTCCTGCTGGAAATGAACAGCCTCATGGGTCAGCACCAATCCACACCCTCTCCACCTTTCACATCAAGCAGTTCAGACTTCAGTCACAGCAGGGAGTCACACCAAGTTCACTTTCAAAAGATCTTCCCCTAATGTGAGCCTCAGTAAAGCAGGAGAAAAATTCATAAATTCCATTTGTTCCATGTGTTTTTCTGGATTGTGATCTACATGGAAAATAGACAAAAAATAGTGGAGATCATTAAAGTGAGTTTACTAATTGTAACAACTATGGTCCCCCAAGATCTGTAAATATGATATGGGACAGAGTAAGGTGAGCCATGAAAACATTTGTCCTGTGAAGATTAGCAGTGAGGCAGTGGATTCAGAAGCCCTTCATGACTTGAAAAGTCCCCAGGAAGGAGACCCTCCAAGCTGGCACTCACTACAAGGAGGGTTCTAGGAGAGGGCAGGCTGGTTTCTTGCATTTCCACTGCACTGTGGTCTCTGGCCCTAGGAGGTGGCTCCCGTGGGTCCAGCACTCTGCTTTAGGGCCAGGCCCTGACTGATGGGCCTCAGAATCTGCTGTGGAAAGGATCAATGGTCAACTTTAATCCTAGACCCCAGCATCATGAGAACTTGTTCAGGGAACATGGAGTAAGAGTCCTATTAAAGTTAAAAAGGTCTGATTCCCCTCTCCTGAAGACCAACCCACTGACCTTACAAGTTCTGCTGGGAGAAGTGGCCATAGGCAGGCGGGGCAGCTTTGACCTTCCTTTGAAGCAGATCAAGTTGCAAATTCAAGACTAGTGTAGTTCCTTCAGTAATGACAGTACCTGACAGGAGGCTGCAAGCTGAGGGGGATTCATTTGATAAGAAATAAAACACTACAGTAACACAGAAGAATCTGAGCAAGTCTTTATTGAAAACGTTTCCATCTTAACAGAAAACCCAGGAAGAAACCCAGAGGCACTACTGCAAACAAGACACTTCACCTCAAGACGAAGAAGAAAAAATGACACTAAATCATCGCAAGTTCATTAAGTACTTTATTTCTTTGCTAGTTTTTGTCAATTGATGCTTCCTTATGGAGATTTGCTTCAGCATTCCCTCAAATAGTAAGTGAAAAAAGGAAAAAAGAAAGCCAGACACATCCCTCATCCTGTCCACAAGGCTCAGCTGCCCTGAAGGTGCCCCAAGGAGGGCAGTGAAGCCACCCAGAAAGCACTGGTTTTGTCACATAGTGTTATCTGTAGGAAACCAGCTTTTCATCAAAGAACCTCTCTCCTTCCTCCCTTGCCCACTCACCACTTCTACCAACAAAGGCAGAAAAAACCAAGGTTTTTTCTCAAACTCTTCAATCTGAAACTCAGATCTGAATTAAAATAATTCCTGGTATCTATATTGGGGTTTTGGGGAGATACTGAGAAATCTGGGTCAAAATAAATCCAAAGTAGAAAAAAAAATTAAAAAGGCAAATTTCTCCAGAGTTTTTATTTAAAATGGCAAAGAAAATGTGTCAAAGAATCATCATTTCCCAGAAGTGTCTTTTACATCAATGAACGTGTCTACTTAATAGTGAAGCGGTGTCTTTAGCAGACAGATAGATGCACCAGTTCCCAAAGCACACAACTACTGTGGGGGGTGGAGGGGAAGCACCCCCAGGACAACTGTGCCCAGGGCCCTACATGAAGCTGATGTTTCTTTAGCACAAAATAAAGACTTAAGTGAAATTTAATGGCACCTATGGCTAAAGCTATAACCCCCGTGAGGGAGGGTGCTGGCGAAAGAGACCCTGATTCCACACCGTGGTGGCTAATGGACGCTTTTTGGACACTAAGGAGGCACAGACAGCGCTAAGCAGACAGGTCCCGGGGCCCTCAGTGGGTGTCAGCCTACAGACAGCACCAGAGTCTGGACGGGAAGGAGCGCCAGACACTTCCCTCATCCTGCTTACAAGGCTCAGCGGTCCCTGCAAGGCCCCCAAGGAGGGCGGAAAGCTACTTAGGACAGCACTGGTGTTCTTACTTTGATTCTCCTGAATAACCAAGAAATCAGAGCTAAACCATCCTTCAGTCCCGCCCCTCCTGCAAAACCCTGGCCCCAACCCCCTCCTGTGATAAACACAGGCAGTCTTCCCTCCCTCCTTTGGGCTCCACCCTGCCCCTCCCCACCCACTGCTCCTTCCTCTCCCCCACCCCTCCCCACTTCACTGAGCCCCAGGGCTCAGGCTCTGCTGCCTGCATAGAAAATGTAGCCAAGCTTGAGAACAGCAAACAAAGGAGCGGCTGTGAGAACTGACAGCTCAACAACTCTGGCAGAGGGTCAGTCCTTGGAGGCGCTGCTGGCAGGGCCCACCTGCCCCACAGGGCACCCCATCCCCTTCAGAATGGCAGAGGGCAAGGTACTGGGCAGAGACCAACAGAGGAAGGGGAGGACACGGGAGAGAAGGCGCCTGTACAGCACAAACGTGGCAGAAGTGGAAGCGTCTCGGCACAGATGTGGCAACACTTGGCATCAGTATTATCTCTGAACTCTCTGCAGAGTAATTTCCTCCCCAAAAGAAACAGAAATGAAGAAGTGATGAGAAGGAATAGCAAGAGGAAGGGAGGCAGGGAACTGGAGGAAAGAAAGGAAGGGGGAGGGGGAAGAGAAGGGAGGGGCTGGAATTCTAGTTGGGGAGAAAGTGTCATTCTGAAAGGACAACTCTGGAGAGGGAATTTGAGGTGCAACCCCACACTCATTTTCTATGCGTTTCAGGGAGCAGGATTCTCGGGGAGGGGCCCTAGAAGCCCTCCACGGAGAGAGTGTGGTTGAGCGCGTAGGCATCGCTCTCCTCTTCCTCCAGAAGCAGCTTGTCAATGGTCAGAGAGCTGACGCTTCTCCGGGGGTCTTCCACGTCCTGAAGGACTGGCTCCGGGAGAGAGATGGGGAGCTGGACAAACTGGGGCCCCGGCAGGGCTGGTGCCGGAGGCTGGTACTGTAGGGTGGAGGTGGGCAGAGTGGACAGGGGCTGAGGCCACGGGAAATAGGTGAGGGGGGCCTGGTGCTCCGGGCCCTCCAGGGAAGGGCCCACCGCGGGGGCAGCAGCGCTTCTGGCCTGTGGTGGTGGAAACACAGGGCAGGAGGGTTAGCGGCCTTGAGGGCCCAGTGCCCATCCTGGTCCTCGGGAGGGTCTATCTCCCATGCCCCTTTCCTGCAACCTCACTCCAGGGGCTCCACCTCTACCTGTTCCACCCCCCTGCAACCCCTCCCCCACCTTCACCCCCCTTCCACGCCCTGCAACCCCCCCCAACCCCTGCCCCAACTCTGCAGTGCCCCTGACTCCATCAACCAGCTCTGTGTTCTTCCTCATGTGACCTTCCAAGCCTCTGTTTTATTTTTTCTTCTGTAGAAAGGTCATAGGGCTCAGTGAACTGGAGGTGATTTTCCAGATTTCACTGAATGTAAAATGCACCAATTTCAGAGATATTAACAGGGGGTTGGGGGAGTCAAGGGAAGCACTGCGGGCTAGACGAGGCTGTCATATGAGCAGGCTGCACTACAGACAAGGTGGCTGCTGACCTGCCCAGACACAAAGGCCCTCCCAGCTCCACACAGCTGGGGCTCTGAGGTCCCCCAGGGCGGCCAGCACAGCTCCACTCCCCTCCCACCCTCTCTGGTGGTGACCAGGAGACCAGGCCAGATCTGGACAGAGGCCGGGGAAGGATATTATTAGTGACCCTGGCTTTCCTGACAAGCCCTGAAGCCTTTCCGGTCCTCCTCCTCCTCCTCCATTCCTCTGAGCTGGTCCCTCGCGGCCATCCCAGGAACCTCCAAAAGTCAGGGCCATTCTCCCAGGTGCTCTCACAGGCACAGCCACCTCCCTGCATTCCTGAAGTCAAGCTTGAGAGGGCAGGGCCGGATTCTTACTGTTTCCTCAGTGGAGGAAGCAGAAGCAGCTGAGGAGGAAAGCTCCACAGAGTGCCTCGTGAGAGGCCTAAATCTGCCCCCACCTGTGACATCTCCCCGCTCCCCCAGCCCATTGTACTTCATCTGGAGAGTTGACTACTGGTGTCATTTATGGAAGAGCTTATTTCCAATTGGGGGGCTCTTTTTATGAGGACCCTGGTACAGAAGGTCTAGGGTGGGGCCTGGACTCTGCACATGTGATCTAACCCAGTGACACCAGAGTAGCTGGTTCGGAACCACCATGAGTAGCAAGACTTTAGGGTGCTTTTCTACAGAAAACGATGGAGCTGATAAGAGTCTCAGAGACCCCAGCTTCCTTATTCCCTCACGCCCCCTGGACCATTTCAAAACTGCAAATAGAAATCTTGCGTTTTCCAGCCATGCACCTGCGTGAGTCAACTGCTGGTTGTGTGGCTCAGAGATGGAAGCACAGGGCTGGCAGAGACAGGTCTAACTCCCAGTGCTCAGCAGCCTAAGTGGTAGCTGTGACCAGCTTTGATGAGTTGACTTACAAATTGGCAAAACGAACACATTATTTCTTAATAAATACAGTGTGTTTGATATACAGAATCTTTCAAAGCAGGAGACAGAAATGATGAAAGGATAAATAATAACAGGAATCCTTGGGAACCATTGAAATGGTGAAAACCATTTTGTCCACAATCCCCTACCCGCCCTCTCCAGTTCCCCGACATGGAAATAACTTGCCTGGGAAAGGTGTTGAATTAGCTTCTTCCTATGCACTGTTACCCTGCCCCCATGGCTGGTTTTCAGGTAGTTGAGTGGGTGGGAATGAGAAGGGAAGGAGAGGCTCCCCCAGGCCATGCCCAGAGGTCGGGAAGGGCAGGCTGTCAGGATGGTTGCACACCCTGAGGGTCATAAAGAACCAAAGCAAGCTCCACCTTCTGAGAAGGGGGCTTGGGGCCTCCCTGGCTGTGCTAAGGGTTAAGTCTCAGCACTATGAAACTATCCGTAGCCACTGCAGCATGAGTTCAATCCCCCGCTAGGGAGCTGACCCATATGGTTCAGGAGACCTCTCATCTTACCCACTGCTCCCCTCAGCAGTATATTTCAGGTAGCCTGCCTGTTTTGCCCTCCAATCTGTCCGTGGTGAATCCCCTCACACACACACTCACACCTCTGGCCTACATCCCAGATCTTGTATGCATAAATAAATAAAATTTTAAAAAGAAGGAGGCATTGCGACCGACAACTCCTGAGATCCCAGCCCCACCTCCCAGGCTTCCTCATACTGGAGCTGCATACAGCTATAACCATAGGCTCTTTCTCCTCTGAACACCTTGGGGGGGGGGGGAGGGTTCCCCATTCCTTTGGTCAAGTAGGCACCATTCACATCAAACTGTGTCACTTCCTTTCTCCATGCCCTCCCTTCCCCATCTGACACTTGATGTTATTGACTGGTAAATGTTGACTGGCTTTGAGGTAATCACAGCAATTATTCAACACTTTCTCTACGCTGAGAACTATACTAGGCCCTCCACATGTATCATCCTATGTGATCCTGACATCACCCCTTTTGCTACTACTCCCATTTTACAGATGAGAACACTGAGGCTCTGAGAAATTAAGTCACTCAGCCCAAGGCAACTTCACCAGAAAGTAAAGAGACAAGGACTGAAACCCAGGCAATCTGATGCAGAAGCAGAACTCAAAGTTATCCTGCAGGTGGCTCTGATGCATCAAAAACCATTTTCTCAGAAGCCATGTTGCCTGTTGATCAGCCTAGCCACTGCTGGTGAACCCCACTGTGGAATGAACAGTTGCTCCTACATCATCTGAATGAAAAGGAGAGTCTGGCTCCGGGGCCAGACCCCACACAGACTTCACCTAGGATCCCATTTGCTTAAAATGTAGACTTGAAACCAAGACTAACTCATTTCAAGGCAGCAAGGGATTCAGGACAGAGAGGCAGGAGAGGGCCCTAACCCTGAGGGCAAAGCATGTCAAGGAGACAATAGCTTTCTTCAGGGAAGATACTCTCGGCCCACAGGATAAGAACAGACCCCGCTGTTGAGACAGGGTGGGCTTAGACGACCTGCTCATCCTGGGACTCCATAGCAAGGAAGATCAGGAGTCAGGAGGTCTGCCCAGGTTCAAAAAAGGAAGCCTTAGGACAGCTGGCGTGGGGTGCAGCTCTGTCTTTGTGTGACATACCGTGACGTTAGTGATGAGTGGCTGAGAGGCGTAGGTCAGCACTGAGGAGGGCCCCACCACCGTGTAGCTGGGGCACACAGGCTGCACATACATGTCAGCTGAGTAGGGGCAGCTGACAGCTTCGTGGGACACATACTCGGTATAGGGCGCCCATGGGGCCAGGGGCTGGAGGGCGGCCGGGGCGGGCTGGGAGAGCCAGCCCGTGCACAGGGCCCCCTCCTCCGTCACTGTGGAGGTAGAGACGTCCATGTCAAGACAGGAAGGACCTGTGGAAAGAAGGGAAGGACAGGGCTACAGGTGCCGGCCGGGAGTGGGCCCAGGAGGGAGGAGGCAGGGAGTGAGGGAGCTCTTACCCACGGTGGTATAGGTCGCCAGGGGCTGATGAGGCAGCACCACCTGAAGGGGAGATGGGAAGACCAGGATCAGGCTCTCCATGGAGAACCAGCCCAGGCTGAGCAGTATGGGGGAGACTCTCCTGTTAGAACAGAACACCTGCCCCAGATTCCAGCCATCACCACCCGTTCCAGTAATTTGTTTCCATTTAGCAAGAATCCATCCTGTATGGCAAGAAGAGACCTGGCCTCATCTTCCAGGGGGAGCCTGACTTCTCACCAGGATGTGCAGGTGATGCTCACTCAGTCGCTGGCAGTAACTTTGTTCAATGAGCCAAAGCGGACCAGGTCCCCTCATCCCACCTTCAGGGACCAACTGACCCACTGGGCCTTTCTCCAGCAGCCATTCCCATGGAAACTTGATGTCTTCAGGCTCTTTACATGTAAGGAAGTACTCCCACTCGGTCCCTAAAGGCACCCCCCACATGCGAGCGTGCACACACACGCACACACACGCCACAGCAGCCCTCCTCACCGCAGTAGGTGTAACTGGTGCCCCGCTGCTGGCGTGGCCACGTTTCCTCCTCAGCAGCTCCTTCACTGGCTCCTTCACACGGACACCCTGGTAGGGCCGGGGTGGGGCTGGGGCCTGTTCTGGAGCTGTGGCTGAGAAAAGCAAAGGCAAGGTATTCATCTCCCTTCTTAGACAAGACCCCACCCTTAAGTGTCCCCACTCTTCAAGGATAAGTCTGCTCACCCACATCACCCCTGAACATGAGGAGCCACAGGTATTGCCTGGAATATTCCTGCCAGCACTGTCACCCCTCCTGGCCCAAACCAGTCATGGCTCCCCTCCACACCAACAGGTGAGGCCTGGCTCCTTAGCCCAGCGCTGACAACCCTGCATAGCGTGGTCTCGACCCACTTTCCCAACCACGGGGCATGCTGCCATGGCATGGAGCCTGGCTCCTGCCAGGTCTCCCTAGACTTGCTATGCATATTAGCATGTCTCGCGTCCTCATCTCTACTTGAGAGGTGAGGAAGCCCTCTCTTTTCCCACACTCTGATTCTTCCTGGCCCAAGACTAGCACAGGCCTCCTGGCTCGCCCCTGCAGCCCACAGAATTTGCTTCTTCCTTTAACCTCTAAAACACTTCTAGGCCCATTCAGTGTCATCACAGGGGGCAGTAGAGGACGGCATAAGAGCAGGGACTTCAACTCAGATGGCATGGACTTCAAAGCCTGCCCCCAGCAGATTCTCACTGAGTGATCCTGGGCAATTAAATAAGTGTTTCGGTCTCTTCACCTGTATTTGTTTTTTCAGTTCAAGAAATGTTGCAAGCAATCACTGATACAGTCAAAGGGAAGCATCGTATAGGCTTAGTGTAAAATCAGAGTTACAGTAAGTATTCAGTACACTTTTAGTCTGCAACCGTGTGACTAGTTATCCTTTTTAATGTTAATTCCCGATTCCTCTAACAAGATTACACGCTTCTAGAAGTCAGCTACTGTATCTTATGTCCCTACATCTTCCCAAGGGTCATGTTCAGACAAGTTCAGTAAGTGATATGTTGGTTACTTTTTGGATGAGTGGTTAAAATGTGTTGTTATTTGTCTTCTGTTCACTTCCCTGGACCTTTAGAAAGAGCTGAAGTGAGTCACTGCCATGTTCTCCACGGTCAAAGACCCAGTGGTGACCCATGAGCCCTGGCCAGCAGTGTCCTGGCTTGCTGGTAAGAGGCAGTTTCCTCTGCCTTTTGTCATCAAAGCCAAGAAACCAAAACACCAACATAGAACACAGAGCTCTTTCAGAGCAGAGCATGCCAGTCAAAAGCATCCATGGCCAGGCAGTGACAGATGTCTGCCCACTGGCCCACAGGCTCAGGTCTGTGCACTCTGAGGGCAGTTCTGGGCCAGTCAAGAGTGGCAAGAAGCAATGTCCCTTACAACTCACATTGGGGTCCATTATCATTCACCGATAAAGGCTCTGGGTTCCGGGGCACAGAATCATAAGCCAGAAACCTGGGTATCTATTAACTCCGGATCTGCAGTCCTGCTGTGGCCGAACTTTGCTCGGTAAATACCCAGCTGATAAGGTCCCAGCCTCCCTCAGCACCAGGCTTCCATTCATACTCCCAGCGCACAGCTGGCCTGGCATGGAAGCCCAGCTGGCAAGAGCAGTGGCAGAAGGAGTGAAGTACATCCAAGAATACAGGGTGTGAGCCAGTGAACCTCAGCACTCAACTACACTAGAAGCCTCTGCAGGGTTCCTAACCTGGACAAATAGCAGGAGCGACCAGAGAATGACACAAAACGCAGATACCCTGGCCCAGCTCCTGGAAAGCCTCATTCTGGGGGTTTGATGGAGGCCTAAATTCTTGAGGAAATCTGTAGCTGCTCTGGGATTTGAACCACGAAAAATTCATCCCTGATCTAATATAAGAACTCTCCCTATCATATCCTGATAGGAAGTTAATTCCTAACAAGGGATCTCTACTGCCAGTCATCCCAATATAGACGTAGCCCCAACCACGTCTGCCGTCAATCTAGTGGGGGAAAAAAAACAAGAGTTACAATTGGTGAGATTCAGGCTGACAAAGGAACATATAAGCAGAGAGCCCTCCTGTACCTGCCGCCTGGGACCCTTTGCACCATCAGCTTGGTGCTAAGCAGCAGTGACAGTGGACTTGAGGGCCAAACTACCCTCTACTACCTCCTGGTAGAAGGCTCTCAGGTGTATTGAACATGCTGGGCCTCCATTTCCTCATCTGGAAAAGGATAATTATTTCAGTCTCACACAGCTATTTCGAGGGTTGACTGAAATAACACATGGGGAGCTTCAAAGCCAGGCCCAGCCTCCCCAAACCATTCCAAGTGTGCATTCGCCTCCCCCACCAGCTCCCACCATCCTCTCAAGAGCAGGAATAGACCTGCCTCTTGCTAACATTTTTCCTTGCACTACTTTCTAATGAAACTAACAATCTACAATCTTGTATATAAATTGCATAGACAGATATCTTGTCTGTAAAATTAGGATCCCAGTGATTCATGCATCCTAAGGTAATTTGAGTTACAAGCAAATGCTGACAGTAGAGTTTGTACTGAGTGAGCCTAGAAAAATGTGGGTTGATATTTTCATTGGTGTTAGCACTAGCATCTCTTTGCAGCATCTGAAAACAGCCCAAGCCTGTAGAGTCTGAATAAACATCCATTCCTTCAGCTATGTCTCAATTCTGTTGGGAACCTTCCTTCTGGCTGCATCACTCAGGCACAAAAGGCCTTTGCCATAGCGTGGGTGCTGCACACTGCTGACCACATGCCCCAGGTGTGCCTGCATGGCAGAGGACAGTGGCACCTGGTATCCCACACTCTGCCCTCTCAACCTCAAGTCACAAGGGCCACATAAGCTGTGGCCACATATCACTCAACCTGTTGTTTCCAACGGAGTTTCCAGTTTGTCCTTAAGCACAAAGTGCAGTCTGAGGCATTGTCCACTCTGGAGAAACTCCGGGGACCAGGTTATTTGGACAGTCTGAATGCTGTGGTCACACTCTTAATTCAGCTAGTGGACAAGGAAGGCTCAAACTCCTACGCACACAGCTCAGACCAGGCCAGACAATTCTATATGGTCAGTGCCTTCTGATCTGCATCTAGGGTATTCCCAACCCCACTGCCTCCCAGGAGGCAGACAAATGGATAGGTCGCTTGGTTGCAAAGAGGCCAGCTGGGCTTTTCCAGGATCTTGTCAAAGGTGGACTTCTATCCTCCTATTGTTTTTGAATCAAGGAACAAAGCCAGCTTGGGAGGTGTCATGAGCTGATGTCTTCAGCTCTGACGTCTGGACTTCCGTGGAACTCAGTGTCAACAGGTGCACCCTGGCACCATCGCCATATGGAGAGCAGTGGCCAATCTCCACCTCTGCTGTCACAAAACCCCCAAAGCGCTGAATGCATTCCAACTTCCCCCACCCCCCAGCTGCAAAAGAATCTTCTAACTGAAGCCATGTAGGCAAGAGGGAGGGTGAAGAGCCCAATTTGTGCCTCAAGACGATTTGCAGTAGAGTCCAACAGTTAAATGGTTTTGCCAGGGAGAAACTTTCAGTGACTGCCTTTTGAGCCACCCTATATGAAGAAAGATACACATTTCTGCTCCCACAGTAGGGCAACGTGGTGTTACCAAGGTGAGAAATAAGCCCATGAATACAAATCTACAAGAGGAAGGAGGTTTGTCTAATAGCCATGACTGCTTGACCGTGGGCTTCTGGTCCTTGAATCGTGGTAGCTTTAAAGCAACTATACTAATATTTAAAGGAACATTTTTAATTACTAAAATAATTTTCAAATGGTAAAAATAATCATAATAGCCAAAGAAAATAAAACAGGAATTGAAATAATAATACATAATGCAGAGACAATGCAAACCCAATTTCCCAAAGTTGAGTTGACCAGAGGCTCTAATACCTCTTGATGAACTGCAATGCCAGACAACAAACCCTCAAAGCCTAAAGCTTTCTCACCCTGTATCCTGTGTTTGAAGGCCCTTTGAAACTCCAGAGCCCATCCAGTGTCCACCCCAAGGGAAAATCTTCCCACCTACACTTGGCCCTCATCGCCTGCAGGCCTTCAGTCCCATTCCCTCTCCTTACCCCTGGGAATCAGCCACCAATGGAGTTGGGAAATAAAACGAAGCTCATTTACAGAAAAACCCACGAATTTGGCCTCAGCGAGGGCTTCTCTTTTCCAAAATGAGCAATGAAAAAATCTGAAGGTATCAAAAGTCAGCAGAAGACATTTCAGTTCCCCCTATTGCCCACCAGACATAGACCACATAACAAAAATATAAGAATCCTGCAGCTGTTGTCCCGCTGGTGAGCACAGACCATGACAGATGCAAGCCAACTGGACACTTCAGGCAGCACTCTGGCCACAAGTGGGCACTGCGCTAGCTTTATGCCAAGTTTAGGAGCCTATGGCTTCTACTGATTTAAATAAACGTGTTTCTCCAGGTCCTTAATAAGGCATAATAAAAATCACCGAGGAAATATGCAAATTATCAGCACCTATTTACTTAATGACCCAGTGCAAACCACACTGACTCCACAGTCATGAAGCTACTTGGCTACAGAGGTAAGTCCTCCTAATGGCTCCTAAGAAGGACCTACCTCCTTAGCCAAGTAACAAAGCTGACACCCAGACGTGGTGCCATGACACTCTTCTGGGTGCCATGTTCAAACAGACATTCCCTAGAACAGCCTCCAAGAGGTGCTAGAAAGAAAACTCTTCTCCCAGCCATGTCCTGTTAGATTTCCCGTGAATCATCAGGGCCAGGCAGTAAGTTGGACACCAACTGGAAGAGCAGCTCCGGTGGGAAGGTGGGGTCCAGGATTACCCTACATTTCCATCACCAGAGACCCAGGACCTTGCCAGTCTAGCACACCAAAAACATTTGTTTCTAAGCAAGGGCTGACATCAACAAAGGCATGATGTCACACAAAGCTGACATATGAAGGCTGAAGTCACTCAAAGCCACATTGAAAGACAATCCTTTCCCAGCCCAGAGGTACTATGCGTATTATAAACACTGCTCCCAGCAAACCCGGGAAATACTGCTCTTTTTGCAGCTGAAACTTCAAAAATTAAAAATTAAAGAGTTACACTAAGGAGAAAT